GGAAATTTGATCCTAGCATGAACTCAGTGCCTCAGGGGGGGAAAAATCTTTTAAGCTATATTAGCTAAATTTAGTTTGACCAAATGCTTCAAATATAAATATAAATCTATACATGCATGTGTGCATATTTCCCTAGGACAGGCTGGATTTTAAAGGGTGATGAGAGGGAATATAACACGAGAGAGAGCTTGGAAAGATGTACTCCCAGACAAACCGGACCTCGTGCCCTGCTTTTTCACTTGTAAAAGTTGGGAACTGTGATGGACAACTGAGCAGCGTGCCAGGATCGCACAGAGAGAGGCTAGACCGTGAGACTCCACCTTCATTTTGAGGGCTTGTGTTTGGGGTTGTTACTGCATATAATATTTATTTTCATTGTAAAATCATATGTAGCAAAAGCATAGTATGAAATTGGGCCACTTAAAAAAAATGCCCGCCTTGCTGTTGAAAATGTTCCTACTTTTAAATGGATGTTAGTATGGAAAGTCAAACTAATCATAGGAAGTTTGCTCTTAGATGTCAGGTTCATTCTTGTATTTAAAGAAAATACAGAGAGGAAAGGAAGGGAAAAGGGAAGGAAGAGAGGGAGAGAGGGGAGTGGCAGGAAGGGAGGGGGGAAGAAGGAGGGAAGGAAGGAAAGAAATTCCCCTTGTAAGTATTCTCAGGTGTCCACTATAGACAGGTCCTCTCCCTGAGCTTCCTTTTTCTTGAACAGATTTCTTCAGCAATATGGTGTTGCTTTTTTGTTAAGAAATAAACCTGTCTGTGAAATCAAAATTAGTGCTGCACTCTTTCAGGCATCCAAGATGAAAAATAGTTTTACACATGAATAATACTTAGAGTTCAGTTATGAGGCCCCAGGTTCAGCCTAAAGTCGCTTGTATTTTCTCCTTTCTTCTTTTCAGTCATGGTTCTAAGGAACAGAATATTATTTTTTAAACACAGAGACGTCCCATAAACATGTGTTACACAGTTTTCCATCCCAACATTCTTCTCTCTTCCCATTCTCATGGCTGCCCTGCTGCACTCCAAGGGAGCACCAGTTACTTTTCTGGGTGGAGACCTAACTCGTGTTCATGATTTGATTGAGAAAGTTTTTAATCTATGTCCATGTAGACAAACATGAGTTTGGGCAAATGCTTTTATAGAAAGAAACCCATGTCTTGTCCAATCATACAACTTCTCTCTGTTTATAAATACTCCACCTCACACTAATTTGTCTCTGGCTTCAGAAACAGTTAACGCTGATCATTGATGGGGTATTTCATTCTAACTCATGGTTAACTTACAAGTAATATTTTTAAAGACAAGCTTCTAAAGAGTCACCCATAATGAGTCAAACTTTTTCAGTTTCTCTTTCATGATGTGTCAAAAGTATCATTAAGAGTAGTGACAATAGAAAGCTGAGATGGCATACATGTGCAGCAACCAAGTTTAACATAAAAAAGAATTGTTCATTGACATTCACAAGGAAAAATATCCCTGAGCATTCTAAGAGGTGATGCAGAAGTGTGAGAGCTGCTATCGCCTGCTGTGTTCTGTGGTTTCATTCCTCTGAGATGGGTGGTTGGGTGATGTTTGAAGTTACCTTGGGTTTGCCTGTGGTATCCATGGATTTTCTTCTCCTCCTTTTCCTCCTCCTCCCCCTCCTCTTCCTTCTCTCCCCCACCTCCTCTTCCTTGCATTTTAGGTTTTGTTTGTTTGTTTGTTTGTTTGTTTTTACCACACAGCACTAAGTAATAGGGAAATATGGATGTGTTTCTTCAAATGCCCGACTTGGATAATCAAGCCATTTAAAGGACAAATGTTAGTACTCTTGCCTCAGGACGGCTGCCATCTCTGCACCTGTAACTCTGAGAATGAAAATACTAGTTATTTATGTTGTACTTCCTGCCTCTTAGATCTCTAGTGAGTTGACCTGATTTTTATAGCCCCTTTACCCTAGCGATGAGGATTCTTCCCCTCCCTTTATTTCCCCCCTCCCCCACATTCCGCCCCCAACCCCATAACTGGGAGGCTTAGGGGGAGGTCTGTAACTGGGATGAAGCAGCTGTTGGCTTCATGCCGTCCTCTAACTTGATTATTCTTTGGACACGTTAGGCAAGCATTAGTGATTGATAATGACGCTAATTAACCCCTTTCCTTTCCAAACAGTAAACTGCTGCCAGCAGGATGCTACAAACAATAAATATAAAACACTGCATACATCAATATCTGTTTAAAGCACAACTTCATTTAGGCACATTTAACCGTATTGCTTTCAGTTAACAATTCACTATTTATTCAAGCACTTCTCCAAAAGCCGGAGGGGGGAGGCAGAGAAAGAGAGAGGGCTAAGAAAAGGGGCCTGTAGCTTTAAGACCACAAAAAGCTGTCATACCTGTCAGCTGCAGCCAAGTTAAGCTCTAATGGAAACCATGCGTAATTTTTTTTTAAATTTCAGGTCAATACTTTTAAAAAACTTAATTAATCCAGCTCTGTTCTTAACCCGTTTAAACTTAATGCAGGGCTGATGACCACATGATTTTTTTCTTTGTGGAAGAAAACAGTTCTCCCACCTGACATAGAATTATTATAAATTTATGTTTGGTTGAGAAAGGAATGGGAGACAGTGTTTCATAAAGAGTGGTGAAATTTAGATTTTAAGAAGGATTTGGGGAGAACCAGGGCAAATTTGATCTGATTCTACAGCCTAACACAACCTGAGTTGTAAAGAAATGTACATTAAATTTGGAATTTTGATAAATGAATATTCCTAGCAAGTGAATAAAATGTATTCAATTAACTAAAACCCTGTGCACTTCTGAACTGAAGTGGAATCGACTGTAATTGATTTATTTGAAACCAGAGGTTAAGGACTGAATTAGCTAAGTACAACTGGGTATTTCAAGCCACTGACTTCTCAAATGTCAAATCCCTTCTATTTTAAATATTATTTCAGCTGCGGGGCATTGCAGTCCTGATGGTAGTTCTATCAAGAACTCAAATTATATTAATATTCGATTTTGGGGAGGAAAGGGTTGGACCATGATTTTCAAAGGGTGTGGGAGAATAGAAGGGGTAATGAAGAAGCATTGTGTTTCCATAAAAATTGGGCGTGGTAATTAGCATAGCCTAGCAAGCATTCTTACAATTCAACCATGTATCTTAATTTGACTTAACTCAAAGATAATCACTTCTGTTAGTAGATAATAAGCATGTTACCTGTCCAATGTGTTTTAGAAAATACACATTAATTACAACAGAAAAAAACCAAAATCCATATAGTCTTTGACTAGTCCCATAAAAATTATTTTTAATAATAACCCCTCTAATCGTCCCACTTCTTAAAAGAGATATAACTTCTTTTAAATTTTTTTGCTAAAGAAAAAGAAGTGGCAATATCATAGTCCTCTAAATTTCCAACTACAGAATAAAAATAATTAATTCTGTGCCTTTGGAAACCATTGTTTATAATGACCTTGTAATGTTCTAACCCACTATTTTCTTTCTGTCTTTCTCAGGATGCAAGGATTATATTGGGTTCAGGTTTTCCAACATAACAAGCATCTGTAAATCCAGATATGAATGAATGGTATTTAATAAGATTGTTTTCGTTTTAAAATGAGTATTTATGTGTCGTTGGAGAAAGAGCAGCAATGGATGGCTGTTTATGAATGCTATTGTGCCTGAGGTTAGGATCCCCCCACACAATCTGAGATGCAGCCAAGAAAAACAGCCCTGATAGACAATGCTTCACTTCACCTGCTACGATGCTGTGTGCATTTCATTTCTGTCAAGAGTATGTACAGTTAGGGTTCATTCGCCTCATTATTTTGTTACATCTACGTTACAGTTAAACAGTCTCTCTAGGAAATAATAAATAACCGCTTTAAAAAACAATTGCCGCCTTGCGTTCTGAGGATACACTCTCCATTTGAATTAAAAAAAAAAAAACCCACCACCATTGTTATGAATTCTCTGGCTTTAGAAAATAGAATTTAGACTCCACCAACTCTCGTTCATTTGCCAGGATTGATTTTACACTGCCTTCCATAAGGAGATTAGAAAGCAGAAGGCTGCAAAATGGACACTGCCTAATGCTTCGCTTCCTTAGTCCTTCGGAATGTCAGACTGGATGAACAATGTTAAATCCCCTCCAGTAGGTAGGTTATACCTATACCTAGATACTTTTTCTATGACTTTTCCTATAAGCCTTCCAGTTAACCACCTCCATTTTCTTCTGAAAAAATTACTAGAAATCCTTCTCACTTCCAAAGCCGACTTTTCAAATCAGTTTAAAAAGCTCTGAATTCACCATTTTTATGTACAGGAAGTCCTTCTTCCTCTGTAACAGCTAAGCACATAGTCCTGTTATTGTGGAAGACAGATAGGAGAGGTCTGCAAAGGCCCTCCCCCAGCCTTGCCACGGTGCCTCAACCTCAGAACATTTTATACTTCTGAAAGGTTCTAGGAGGAGTCTTGTGATAGAAAGGGGTGGGTCGGAATTTAGGAGCAGACAGAAACCATTCTGGGAATCAACATAATTTCCTACTCCCCTCTGCTACCGCAATACTACTAAGAACAGCACAGGAGTGAATCTATCTCCAAATAAAATATTAAAATAAATGGGAGACAGTTTGCTTTCTCTTTCTCTGCCCCACGTACATTTTTGCCACTATTCCTTTTCCTGTCAGAAAACTAGAGCTAGTTTTTAGCTCATTTAACAGGTCTCAGCCACTGAGAAGTCTGAGCTAGCACTCGAAGGCTGAGGTGGTAATTTCCTTTGTGTTAATGAACTAACATTTTAAATCTCAGTTATCTTCTGCATTGGATTACAAAATAGTTGGTAGGGGAGAATCTTCTGTTCTCCACCTTCCTTGTCATGCTTAATGTTTAGTTCTGAAGGTTTATATTTAGATTTCCAAAACACAAATGAAAACCTAAAGGATCAACATAAATAAAACTTTATTTATAATAATAAAATTAATGTTTCCAGTAAGGGAAGGATAGTGTGTCATTCCTTTAGCGGTACAAACAATTTTTTATCCAAAAGAATACATTGGGTTTTATTGTGTCATTTGTCTGAATACAGACTCAGTGGAATATCTAAATGATACCCTGCTCTGAACTCCAAGTTGAAAGTAAGTTTTTATTATACTTGAGGGAAACAATGGGTTCAGCTGCTTATTGCAAGGAGCAATTGCCAAGGGAGAGTTAAACTCAATTACTGTAACCATACTGAATAAAAAATACTGCCAAGAACAAAAATACGCCTGGGTAAAGACAGCCACTGAATAAAAAAAAATCGACATAAAGCGTATCAAATATTTATTTATCTGGGCAACAAAGGACTATGATACATTGACAGGCATGGAAACTACTGCCAGCACAACTCAATACAATACAACCAGAACTGCTTCCAAAATGGCCACTGAAAATACAGAATACCAGGTGGTCCCAAATGTTTGAAGTTCTTGGAACAAAAAGAGAGAAAGAGAGGGAAAATCCCTAACCCTTGGTTTAAAGACAATACTCATTTATTGCTCAAATGATGCTTTTAAGGGAGGAGAGTGGAATAAAATTAACTTTTTCCCCTCCTCACAATACATTAAAGGGTTATGAAACCACTCAAGTTTAAAAATCTTTCTGGAGTCCAATATCAAATTTTCTTTCAGTTCAGTGAAAAGCTAAATGTAATTCTAATTGTATATAAATTTTTACTTTGTTTTTTATTTGTTCAGCTGTTTCATTGTCATCTTTAACATGCTAAATTCATGAATCCCAGAGGAAAAAAAGAATCCCCCAAACCTTGAATTTCTAAATAAGTACCATGAACCACATGAAAAACTAATGGGGAAGATTCAAAACCCACTAAACAAGAGGTAAACAAGATCACCAGATAAATTAAAAAAAAAAAAAAAGGCTTAAAACAGATGCACCATATTTACACTTCCCATTAAATTACACATAAATAAATATATACATAGACATGAACACTGATTCCCTTATATAACTGAATCGTGTTGCCAGAGAAAGTTCAAGTTGGTTGCTTTACCTTAAAGAGGAAAAATTTCTACAACTGAGACATGACATGGAACTTCGTATATGTGTTCAAGTTTATTCACAATACTGATAAAAGTGTCATTATCCTTTTGCCTTTTTTTAAGTATGGCTACAATCTGAACTGAAGTTTGTAAGGGAAGGTGGTGATTCAGTCCCATGAAGCTCATATAAGCTCATATAATTTTTTTAAATTTTACTTTTTTTTAGAAAAAAGTTTAAATTTTTGTTGTTGTTGTTGTTGCTGTCGTTGATTTGTGGGGGGAGGGGAGTTATTTTTTTAAAAAGTTCACAAATCCAGACAGAACTTTTCTTTGCTGGCTTCACGGCCGGCCTGTTCTGTTCTCTTAGGCTCCACAGGAGGGCAAAGGGGACTTGGTTCTGATGGGGGAAGCTGAGGCAGGGGCCTGAGTCAGCAGGGGCTGCCTGACTCGTCCCCAGACTCCCAGACTGGAGGACTGGAGGCGGCAGCGGCAGCAGTGGCAGCAGCAGCAGCAGTGGGGGGGTTGCTGATCCCGGAGCTGTCACCTGCTGGTGGTGGTTGGTGGGGAAAGACTGAGTGGGTGAGCTCTCGGGGAGGGAAGAGGGCTGGTGAGACAAGGGAGGGGGCAGAGCAGGAGGAGAGCCTCACTTTCTGTGTTTCTCCTCTTTGTCACTGCTTTTGGCGCTGTTGTCCGTGTGGCTGTTGGGGTTGTTGCTGAGGTACATTTTGTCCATGGCCTTGAGGGCCTCGGTGAGATAGTTCTGCAGGGCTGTGACCGCTGCGCACACAGCTGGGCTGCCAAAGCCGTGGGAGATGAGGTTGAAGTGGGTCAAGCAGCTCTGGATGCCAGGCTCTAGGATGGGATTGGGCCGGGAGTTCCCCAGGGGAGATCGGTCCTGAGCCAGCAGGTCGGTGAACTCTTTGCATATCTGTCTGCAGCACAAGTGAAGCAGAGAGAAAGAGGAGGACATGAGACTCTCCTGTGGCAGCATCACTAGCAGCAAAGAGAACCTTTCTCCCTGCGGTTACTTCCTCTGGGATGCAGCAGACACTGACCTGATCCACCCGAGGGCCCTACCCTAGAGACAGTCTTGCAGTGGCCACATGCTGGCAAAGCTAGCACTGTCAACTAAAACACCTCTCCTTCCTTGATATTTCCACCAATTCCTGCTTCTCTCCCCCCTCCTCCTCTCAGCTACACCAAACTTCTAACCCCCTCCTCTATCAGCTCACACCAAATATCACAGACACCAGAAAACATTTCACACATGAGAAGAGCAACAAAGGAGAGTAAGAGGGACAAGAAGTCAAACACAAGCCCCTTTTCAATAGCCAACAGCAAAAGCAGCCAGAAGCTGTCCAGCCCTTCTTCTCTGATCTTCCAGAGACAGAGAGCTCAGCAGCAGTCTGTGGGATGAAGTCTCCACTCACTCACCTTCAAGTCAGTTGCACGTGAACAGAAAAGCAAAACTTTTCTTGGGATTATATTGCCGTTTTTAAAAAAGGCATGAAAAACTTGTTACTTGGGCATAATTCAGAATGGTTTTGGGAAAAAGACCTATCAATTTCCCATTCCATATTTTGTCCTACACATCAAAATAAAGTAACATAAAACTCTCTGGGGGAAATTGTGAGCATGCATGTGCTTGTGAAGGTGAGGGGAGAGAGAGTTGAAACACAGTCAGATGAGGCCTGCACACTGGAAGCTCTGACTCTGAATCTGGGAAATAAGGACTAGCTGGGGCCTTGAGGATGGGGGTGGTGAGTAGGGAGAAGGGAGAATGGGGAACACTGACAGACTACCCTCCCCAAAGCCAGCCGATGTCCCCAGGTGAGAAACTGCCTTGCCTGAGGCCTTAGCCTCTGCCCTTTGGTTCCATGCCCTCCTGTGACATCAACTTTGATAATTAAGGGCTTCCAAACAAGCCTTTTAATTTCCAGAAAACATACCAGGACAGTCATTTTCTTTTCACACACCACCTGGAGACTATTCAGCCCAGGCACCCATGGGAATATAACTTAGGGCCATTTTGAAACCTATTTGACATCTCACCTGTGGGCTGAAACTCGTGGGGAATGTGCGTGTCTGTATGTTTGTGTGTGGCACTTTCCAGGAGGGAGGAGAAAGGGAGGCAAGAAGTGGGATAAGGGATTAGGGTTGAAACTAGGACAGCTTCTGGCTTGCATATTTTGTAGGCCACTAACTTAATCCTTGCGCTGGGAGAACATTGATAGAAGACAAAAACTGACCTGACAAGAAAAAAACAGATAAAGGCAAGCCTGCTACCCCTTTAAGGACTCAATTCTGGTGTTTCTAAAACAACACAGTCGCAAATCCACACTCAGCTTCTATCAAGCCCCTACTATCCTCTACCCCCACACACATTTATTATTACTATTTTAGGAAGATGAGGCAGGAGAGAGGAAAAAGATGGAAACATGAGCAATCTTACTTGTACTTCCCCTTTAAAATAGATTATGGTTTATCAGATTGTGTTGCAATTTCAATATTTACAACAACAAACTGATTAACACAAAAGGAAAAGAAAAGTGAGAGCAAAAAAACATTTTTGATTTTTGTTTCTCTTCACAATGAGACGTAGAGACCCTGAAGAGGTAAACGCCTTACTTTGTAGCCAGAAGCATGTTTTTTCTTGTCACTTGCTCATTGGGATCGGAATGTTGTCGGTTGAGAAATTCAGCTACTGCTTTGGCAGGAAATTCGGTTTCGCACACGTACCCAAAGTCCCTGGCTAGATGGACAGCTTCTCCTGGCAAGAGGTGAGAGGGGAGAGGCGAGTGCAAGAGAATGGAAACTTGGGATCAAAACTTCCTCCCAACTCCCTTATTTTCTTATTTTCCAGATGTTGAAGGAAACACAAAAATACTTGTTTTCTCATTTCAGGCATTTTATTTCCTTCTCTGTAAGATCTGGTGGATGTAGTTATCAGAAAAAATGGCCACTTACCCTAGAAGGCTGAGATAATTTGAAAATGTAAATCCCATCCACTACCCTCCAGTCTCATCCCCCCCCACCCTTATAACATTTTCCCAACTTCTCTTTTTAGAATATTTCTGGTACTCCAACCTCACACCTATCAACACATTTATAAATGGTATTCATAATTACTCCTTGAGCTTTTCTGCAAGGTAACAACTTAGGGTTTACATTTTAACTTGATCGCATATAATTATCTGTTCATCCAAACCGATTAACCAAGAGGATTTGAGGGTCACTCCACTGAGTCTGTCTGTGTTGTTGATTTTCAAATCTTTGGTTTTAATTTCCTGAACCAGTTGGTTTTTACTGCAGGGCTTCCTGCCATTAGCTCCAGCTCCGGAAGAACGCATGCGCCAATTAGAGCATCAAAGCCCTCTCCGCAGAGCTTGTTTCCATAAAATGGAGCGGATCACAAACAATAACAGTTCTCCAGAAACTGCCTCCCTGCCACAGGACTCAACCCCCAAGCCCATACACAGTCTCACACTACACCTGAAGCCACTACGACCATTTTCTTCGGGTATAGTTCTTTTGGAGTATGAATAGAGAGTTCTCTATGTATTGGCATTACTTTTAGTAAGTATAATGCTACCATAGATAGTTTCTGGCACTGAACAATTGCTTATATTTAACAGTTATGTTATTGTCATCTGTGACACCACTAACAAATAGTTCATAGGATTCCTCCTCAAATTTATCGTTTTAAATATTTTCAGTTATTTACAAAGCCAAACGTTGAATTTAATTGTATTTTATTTCCTCAAATACAAAATTTAAGTAAGATAAAATACCTTTTGAAAATATAAATGGCAGTTTTGAAATCTGCCTGATTATTGGCATGCCTTTTTCCTATAGCCATAAGGCATTTCCAAGAGAACACAAAGGGAGATGCAAGAGAGCTATACATTTATTTAAACATATTCAAACTTAAGCCAATTTCATATCAGAAAAACTTGACACCTAGAAGAAGCAGGGATGTGAGAAGATTCTGGTGACAGTTCATCTAGAGCAGGGAGTGAGGACAGCATTGACTTTTGTTCTGAGGGGTCTGGAAGCAGGTATGTATGTCGTGTATGCATGCATGCGTACGTGTGTTTAAAACTGCCAGGAGAAACTTTTTGCAATGCTTATACTTCTCTTTTCTTTTCCCATCCAAACAATTCAAGGTCTAAAATCACTCACTTTTCTTCCCCTCCAGTCAAGAAACACAATTAAAGGACAGATACGGAAGCATATGTTTGGAAAACAAAAACTCAAAGGGCATATAACCCTGAGCTTTCAGGACGGTCTTAAATCAGGATGCAGGTCAAAGATTCCCAAATTAATTCAGGAAGTAATGGTCACGCATTTCTCAAATGCAGATGTCAGAATACCTTAAGTGATTTACTGCTGAGCTCTATAAAGGAGACAGGAACTTGGAGAATATGCAGTTCTTAAATTTTCACATTGTTTAGGTCAGAATTGGGCTGGGGAGGCATAATTTTGTGGCAGAGGGGAAGAGGAAAGGAGGATAGGAATAAATGCAAGTATTTTTTTGACATGCAAGAATTCCACTCACTTCCTGCTTTACTCTCTGGAAAAAATGAAACTGCCCAATTGACACAAAGTACAGCCAAACATCTGGTCACTAAGTATTAATCCATTTTCCCAGAAGAAAGTTCCCTTCTTGTTAGTAAGTAGACTCGCTTACCCTCCACTAGTGATGTGAGCAGGGTGACATTGGCAGCTTTACGTCTCCCTGCTGGCAGATTTAATCCTATTTTGTCCAGTTTTTCTCTTAAAGATCTTCCTCCATTTTTAGACTTCGCCCTGTTTCACAAATATAGGCGAGAAACGGATTTAGAAAACATTGGATTGCTCTGCATCACATTATAGTAATTTTGACAAGTTCCTAAAATGCTTTTAAAAATTAGGAATCATAGCCCAGAGACATTCAAGGGAGGAAAACCTAGGAAGGATTGGTACAGAAAGATCATAGGAGATAAGTGCTTATTAAACTAAAAAGCACCCCTGTAGTTCAGTTATTATTGCAACTATTGTGGCAGAATGGAAGGTTTTGATTCTCAACTCTTCAAAGAACCACAAACAAAAACAGCTCTCACCTTTAGGGTTTGAGGTATTTTTTTGTTGTTGTTCAATTGATTACTGTATATTTTCCCTGTTGTTACACTCACATAAATCCCAATGGGGTCTTTAAATTGTCTTTGTAAGATCTGCTATTAGGTTGTTCAGAGTAACCAAAGTTATCATCACTCTCACGTTTCTTGCTTTGGCTTTAGCCCCAGTGGGGAATTCATTTCACCAACTGTTTACATGCCATGTCATCAGCCTAACTGGAAATGTCAAAAGCTGATAACAGCCTTTAAAAATTTCACTCATTTCAGAGACAATGGAGGCAGTTCTAAATAGATGTCTAAATAGACTCCCATAATCATAAAGTGGTTAAGATAAATTGTTTAAATAAAACAGCAAATTAATTAATTTCAGATTTTATTCCCTACTCAAGTGCTCTTTAATTGTGTGGATTAGATTATACTCCCCTAGGTAAACAGTCTCCAATACTGGGGATGGGGGAAGGGGAAGAAAGGCAGAGGGCAGATTCAGATCTGTGACAGTGAGAGATTACGAAAGGACAGCAAAGTGATTGTGAAGGAAGAAGAAAAGATGAAAATAGCTGACGTTAAAACCTTCCAAAAATGTTTTTATAGGCTTTGTATGTAATATACCCATTAGAGGAGAACTAAAAGTCTCATAGATAGGTAAATAAGTAAATATCAAAAAAATAAAGTTTTGGTCTACTTTATTAATTTTTTTAAAGGAAGAAACAAAATAATATCCGGGAAATTTCTACACAAGACCCACCACCCACAACAGTGGCTGGAATCCTGGAAAAAAAAGAAGCCCACAGGAGGGGAAAACCTGCCCTGAGGGAAGATGCTTCACCTCGCTGACCCTTATAAAATCTTATCTACGAAATGAATCAATCTGACCTCCTGGAAGTGAGATGAGAATCCCTGGCACGGACGAAACACACATTCGTCGGTAGACTACTCGAAGTGCACTTAAACGTGCCTTGCACGTCTGGCACATCGGGACGGCCTTACATCACAACCACTTAGTGCCTTGGGCACCGTGAGTCACAGCCTGGCCGAGGCACCCACCAGCGGACGTAGCGTGCAGACTCAAGAAAAAGCCACTGTGTTCTGCTTAAAAACCCTATTCAAGAAACGACGGGATACCGTCGGAGATCCTACACGGAGGTAAGAAGTGAAGAGGCCGACAGGAAGTTTCCCAGAGCCCGCAAGGTGTGCGCAAGCAGGTAAAAGGCAGCTGCACGGCGCCCCGCTGCTGCAGCTGCGGGGACTGAAAGCAGGGCGATACAAGCTGCGCGTGCGCGCAGGGCTGAGAGGGCAGGGCCTGTGAGCGCGCTACCGCTACCTACCGGAGCGCGCGCCAGAACCCCACCCCCGGCGCGCGCGCGGAAAGCCGGCGGAGAGCGCAGGCGCGCGCCGCCTTGCCCCACCTCCAGCTCCCAAGCATCCATTTCCACGCCGCCCCCCCTTTCTTTTCCCGCGAAAGGAGGGTCGTGGCGCGAAGCTCGTGCGCGTCGCTGCTCCAGCGCAGGCGCACTGCTTCCCCCAGCCGCGGGGCGGGGACGGTAGGGCAGCGCAGGGCCTCACCTCCGCAGCACTCCACCCAGCAGCGATGCGTTGAGACACTCCGGCGGTGAGAGGCGCCGCTGTACTTCCGCCACCGTGACCTTGTACTTCGAGGTGGAGCTGAGGAGCGAGAGGCGACCCGGAACTGAACAGAAGACTTCGTTGGGATTCACGACGCCACCGAAGAGGTTGTCTTTATTAATGGGTATGGCGGAGACGGCGTTGCTGTTGGACTTGGACAGGGACACGGGGCCTGCGGAGACAGACCGGGAGGCCTTGTGTGGGCGTCGAGGATCCCTCCCAAGTTCTGCTGGACACGACTCTCTTCCCTGGCTAGGGCTGGCGCCCAGGCTTGCGCTGCAACCCCCACTTTTGCAGCCCTGAAAATTACATGGCTCTCTCCCCGTCTCCTACCCTATTCCGTCCTGGGGATCGAGACTGCTCCTTGGCGCGCCTCACCCCTCGGCCAGGAGCTGTTGTGCCCACCCAGCCCCAGCAGCCAGACCTGTGTTTTTGCCTGGATCCTTTCCTTTTATCTTCAAGGGTGCTGTCGAGAGATAGTGGTGAAATTGTGACCCTCTGAACTCTCAGCATCCGAGCAGAGTGGGCCCCAGATAAGGTGCCTGAGCACGGGTTTAGGGTGCAGGGGAGGGGGTTACGTTTGCAAACCAAAACCAAGCTATGTCTACTTTGGAGTTTTGTGGAGTGAGGGGTTTAACGTTGGGAAGAAATTGCTTTATACACCTATAATTAAAATCAGCCCAGATTTAGATGGCAAGTCAAGCCTATAAATGAGCATTTTCAGTTAAGGCATGAACTGAGAAGTGATGAATTCTGTTGTCACACAGGACACATGCCCCCTCCTTTTGACAAATAGGCCCTTTCCCTTGTTTAGTTTTGAGAAAGACTCGAATTTTGGAGAACCATTCCAAGCTCCGACTTGTCCTGGGAGAAAGGATAAACAGGCCTATCATAGATTACTAGTAATATGTCTTTTTGTTGAGCAAATAGTTAATAGCTTAAGCATCTTCATTGGGAAGGGGGGAGGATATATTAGTAGTCATAAAAAATTCAAGTCCAGCAGAAAGTGTACTAATTTTAAATTTCTCAACACCACTATAATTCGGATGCATTCACAACCATTTAAGTACAGTATGCATTTGTAATTTTTTAATTCCACATTGAGACAAATACATTAAGCATTTGTAACACCATACTCCGGCTTTAATGGGGATATTCTAGATGTATGGGGAGGTGGGGGCTCTAGGTTTTGGATAGATCACTTGTGACATTAATAGCTCTGGGGAGGCTAATAGAGACAATAGGAGTTAAACGAACTCTTGAGAGATTACTAATAAAAGACCCAATTATCATGTCGACTTGGAAAGAGCATCTCTTAAGATTTATCCCTTGCACATCTAATTTGATGTGACAAAGACTTCACAGATGTAAAAATGAAACTTTAAACTAGCTAACAATACACTGATTGGGGTTAGAAATGAGAACAGTTTTATATAGCATCATCCTCTGGTGGTGCCTGGAGTCCTGAAATGTAACATTGTCACCAGAACAACAAAAAAGCTTCTGGGAATATCATTTAATCCATTAAACTTTATTTCTACTCACTAAATACAAGTTACAAATCCATTAACATCATTGGACACTTTAATAAACAACTTTTGCTATGAACAATTAAGCTAACATTCCTGGCATCTTTAAGATGTTAATTTTAACCAAAAGCCAACATTTTTTTAACCTAATTCACAAACTTTAAAAACCCTTAAAGAGCTAATGACAAATTAAATTGAAAACACGGAAGGTTTTTTCCCCTCTGCTAAGGAGTGTTGTGTCTTTTTATTATCTGCCCTTATATTAATATTAAATTATTTGCACTCATTTAGTATGTTGCAATTCTTCACACTCTTGGCCACTCACACAATGGATTAACTACACTATGAAAACCGTCTCAAACTTGAAATGCCAATTCCAAATCAGTTCAACTATTTACACATGTGTGTTTGTCACGACAGCATTAAATTAAATGGTTAAATCATGAATCAGAACAAAGCTAGCCTGTTGCCATTGCTAACCTACTGAAAGCCAATCATTTAGGCAATGCTATTCTATGCCTGTGTATTTGCTAATTCTGAGCCTTTAGGAAAATCGTATTTGAAAAAATACAGCTCTGCAAGTTCCTTTAAAGAGCACTGTGCCTGTACAGACATGCTTGGAATGCAAAAGGAAATGGCTTACCTTTCTTAATTACAGTTTGATCTGGGATGTTAATACCCGGGTCTTCTACATGCTGCAACAAAAGGATACACATGGATGTAAGTGTATAATCAAAACAAAAGGAAATGAATATTCCATGCAAGATGGGGGGAGGGGAAGGAGTAAAATCGAAATTCCCCCCTTATAGTGACATTTATATATAAACAATTCATCTTGGCTTATTGGAATTTGGAGCTTTGCAACTCAAGAGGTTTCACTGCACACCCAAGGCCAATTTCTACTCTCTCAGCAAGCAATTCACATTTGAAAGAGGTGGGGGTGGGGGATAAAACTTTCTTTGGAAATTAAAATCAAGTTTTGGAGTACCTAATCTTTTTCATAATCAGTTAGTTCAATCTTTTAAAATGCACCTAGCATTACTTTGGCGCCTCAGCAGCTTCGGACTTTTAGTGATTCCAAAGCTTAGGCAGCAAAAGGCAGAAAAACACAATAGAAATGACAGAGGTGGGAGTAACAGGGACGCATTGGACACGGTTTATGTAGTGTGATAAACAGCAAAGGCATACACACACCTTACAGAGAAATGAACATAATTTTTTTTAAAATAAAGGACTACTGCCTAACTTGGCTATCAGATAGGAATATGAATGATAAACCACAAAAAAACCTTTGAGGTTGCTTTCCTGTCATCCAGCAGATTTGTTGGGGGTGTGGATTTTTTTCTTTTTCTTTCTTTTTTTTTTTTTTGCAGACGGATGGGTTTATGTGTCACAGTAAAAACGTGATTAGAAAGTAAAATGAAATCATGTTTTTTTCTAATGCAGAAACTGACAGGCAATATAATGTCTGGCTGTGTTTACAAATTAGCACCAGGGCTGCTGAGATAGAAGATTTCGCAATCGTTACCAAACACAGGCATTACCATTTAAAAAACTATTACTTCCTTCTCTAGTCTTTGTCCAACAATAATACTGATTCAAACATTTTCCATTCTGTCTTGGATTTATGCTCCTGTTAATTGTGCCTGATCGCAATGATTCCGGGTGGATGGTACTAAGTTGCTTTATTACAGGTTTTATTATACTCAATGCTCTCATTTGTAACTTGCCTAAAGTGCTTCTGGATTTAAGTATAATTAAATTGAGAAATGTTCAGAAATGAGTACTGCTGCAGTTCTTGTGTTTTAACTATATGGGGAAATATGATCCCTTTATGCATGCACCCTAAACTCATAAAGTAAATGCAGTGTGGCGTAATACTTTTATTTGTGTTATTTCTAGACCTTGTCCATACAGGGAAGACTGTTAAGTTTAAAACCCCACTGAGATATTAATGATTAAATAATTTTCACCATCAATTTGATTTTCTTAAATATTAAGCAGTCATTATTAAAGGTTAACCATTGCAGCAATGAGAAAATTGAAAACAACCCTTTTCCTGACCAAAAAATTTTTGAAAGAATTTTTCTTTAAAGTGGGAGGGAGGGAGAGGGAGAGCAGCAATTAGGTTTCCTTGTTTTTATTTAATCTTTTGCTTAATTTCTCCCACTGAACAATTTCACTGCAAGGAGTGACTATACAGGTGTTAAGAATTCACACCAGCCACTTTGGAATGTTTGCAAAGTAGAGCAGTTCTAATTCATGGTAATCCCAAAAGCTTGCAATATTATCTTGCAATTCAACTATTTCCAAAGACCAGGCTAGGAAAAGGATTCGGATAATCTTTGGGAAGAACTAAAATGATCACAGCTTCCAGGTTTGTTTTTTAATTGCTCTTTGCCCAACTATTGCTGTTCTTATTTTCCTTCCCAAGAAATATACTGTTTAGTATCAAGTTTCTAAAAACATGCTCGAACACACACACACTGCTTACTAAACCCTACATTGAGTCAAGTTCCTATTTTCCTGCTTTCCATGTGAGGCTATTAAACATAACCAACAAATTTCGGTGATTAACCGAGCTAAATGAGAGAAGTAATAAATTTTCTATTTTCCTATGTGACTTAAACAAAGTTTTAAATTCACCAAGCAAGCAGGTAAGTTCATCTGACCATTTTCTTTGCAATCTAATGCAGTAATCATTAAACTGTCAACGGACATATTGCTGCAATATTTGATGCAGTAATTTGAAATAGCATTTTAGCAAAAATCACATCCAGATACATTTCCTCTCCAAAGAAAAGCAGCATTAACAGAGCCTTTACAGCTTTAATAAAATTATTGGCTTGTTCTAATTCCATTTCAGGAAGGTTGTGAGGAAACCATAAATATGCAGAATTGAAGCAGAGATGGAGGTTTAAAATTAATTTCAGAAAGTATTTTCAGATTATCAATAGCTGGTTTACATTGTAAATAGTAAATGTGCTAATACCATGCTTATTAAGAGACCATTTTAAACCACATTTATTGATAACTGAATTCAAACTCAAGTAATTGTTGCCCAATACTCTCAAAACATTTAATGTAATATGGGGTGTACCAGCTCCTTTCTTACAGGCGTTGGGAACCTAGCTAATGATTTATGAGGTCAGGACTTAGCACCCCTAGGAAGAGAAGAGGCTGCATTTTAATGTCCCTGTGCTCAGATTTGCTATTTATTCTTTAATCAGGGTAGGGATACACATAACTAAATCTGGTAAAAATAATTCTTAGTACGACTTTTGCACTTTATTTTCAATTGCCAGGGCATTTAATAAGTTCTTTCGGTTGAATTTAACATCTTTTTCCGGACAGGGAGAAATCCCCAGGCCAGACTCAGCAATAGAATTAGATCCTCTCCCAGTCGAAACAGTTTACAGTCTTGGAGAGGGGAAGATATTGTGACATTGTCTGATTTATTTGAGTTGGTGGAAATGGTAATGCGGGCATTGTTTGAAGGAGTTCCAGGAACCATTGTTCCAGGGGCAGAACTCTCTACTTCTTTTTAAATTTTTTAAAATTCGGTTCTCTATGTGGATTCCTAAAGCTCCCGCCCCACCCCCCGCCCCCCATGAAATTTTGAAAAAGTAAACACCATTGAGGAAAACCCGGGCCCACCGGCTGTGTGTCCCCGGCATCTTCTCTGGGAGTGGGTGAGTAGGCGCTGCACTGCCTCTCGCACCGTCCGCGCGGCCTCTTACCGGGACGTCCTCGATGGCGTGAGGTAAGGAGTGGATCGGGAGGTCTCCGAGTCCCGAGCCGAGCCCGTGCGGGCCGTGCAGGAGGTCCTCGTGCCGTCGGTAGTCCCTGCGAGGATCCAGGCCCGGCAGCTGGTGGGGCAGCCCCCGGTGCGTGTGCAGGAGCCCTGACTCCTGGCTCTGCCTCTGGCCGGGCCAGCCCGGGTGCTGCGGCTGCGGCTGGGCGTGCAGGGGGTTCAGGCTGTAGGGGTCGTTGACGTGGGAGTAAGGATCTTGCGACTGGGGGTAGATAGGCTGATAGGGCGGGGGGAAGTAGGGGGGCTGGAAGTCGGCATTGGGGGTATGGGACAGCGGCGGGGCGCTCGTGTAGGGAGATTGACCTACAGTGCCCAGCTGGGGCAACCGCGCCGTCCCGTTGCTGGTGCCGTCGTGACGGTCCTAGAAAAGAGCAAGAGGAAGGGGAATGAACAAGAAATCAGACGTCTATTTACAGCTGTCCGCACGAAATCCACTCCGCGAGGCTGCGTGGGAAGTGGCCCCTTCCCATCGGCAGGCCGCGGGAAGAAATGAGCTCTGAGTTGTTCGTTTTGGAACCCCCCCAGCAGTGAACCGGGCCCTTCCCCAAACGCAGGGAATCGGTGTGCAAATGCGGGGGCGGAAGGGATTCTGCTTGGCGGGTTCTTTCAAAAGCGGTGTTGGTGGTGGGATGGGGTGGGGGGCGTAAAAAAGGACCTCCCAGAATAGAGCCTGTGTGAAAACACCCTTAAGCAAAATTAAAATTCCTACTAAATATTAAACAGTAGAAGCGGCGTTTCCTTTTTCCCCCGGATTTGAACCTGCCTTCCACTGCGTTATTGTTTACTCGGTTCCATTTATTTGGAGGGGAAAATCATACATGTTTAAAGATTACTGGCATTTCATAACTATTTAAATAGAAACATTTCGTAGAACTATATAACGAAAGCACAGGTTTAAATCGCCAGCTTAAATAGGGTTTTAACTGCAGCAGGGCGGGGAGGGGTGGTCTGTATTTTCTGCTTCCTCAGTTAGAAGCCCTTTTCTCCACAGGGTCGATTCATGACATGGATGGGGAGAAGGGGACGTCAAGTCAAGGCTTAAAATATAAATATTCCGCCTTATTCGGCTTAAAACAGAGAGGTGCACCCCGGGGCGGAGACCCCGGCCCCTTTCACCCCAGCCCCAAAGGGCAAAAGAAACGCCAGACTTTCTGTTTCTCTGCTGAAGTTCGCTTGCTGAACAAGCTAACAGAGTTGATTCCAGGGAATTCGAACCTTCCGAGGTTCGGCCCAGGGATCTAGGGTAGGGGGGCACATTTGGCTGCATTTTTTTCAGCAAACGGATATAGCATCAAATGTTGAGCACATCTCGGAAACAAGTGAAGACACAAGGAAATATAGATAAACGTGGCGAGAAACACGCCTTGGGAAGTAGCGGCGAGGTAGATCTGCGCGCTGGGAAAAATGTTGAGCAGGGACGAAGGCATTTGAGAATGGAAAAGTGGAAAGAAGGAAATGCAAATAGGGGTGCCCTGGTGGAAACCTGGGCGTGAAACCCGAGGTCTCTCAGAATAGAATTCCTAAGGAAACAGGAATGGGGGTGGGGATGGGACTCACCATAGCTGAAAAACTGTGAACTAACATCTGCGAAGAGTCTGGGGTAACGAGTCAGGGTGGAAAAAAACAAAACAAAACAAAACAAAAAAACAAGCAAGCCCGGAGAAACCGGCTGCCCCGCCGCCCGAGTGCGCCCCACACAAAAGGCGCCGGGAGCCCCGAGCCACCCTGGACTCCAGTCACCGCGCCGACGCTCCCCCAAGCGCTGTAGCCCCGCTCTGGTCCATCCGAACTTGAACCACCGATTCGAGCGGCGCCTTCAGCTGGTCGAACCCACGGTCTCTATCCTGCCGTGATCGGTTTTGATTCAAAGTTCCTTAGAAAACGAAAAGCCCCCAAAAAGAAAAAGTGTGTGTGTCTGTGTGTGTGTGTGCGCGCGCGCCTGTGTTCCTTAATCCGTGTCTCCCCTCTTTTCTTAGCGGCGGCTTCGCTTGAGCTTCTAATAACCGCGCTGGGCAGCGTTCCTGGAGCCTCCTAATAGCAGATATTCATGACTATTAATATTACACGAATACTTAATAAGGGAAGAATGCCTGGAAATCGAGCGTGAAGCGGAGAGGCAACTCGCGGCGGAGCCGGCTCTCAATGCAGTCCATTGACGGGAGCCTCAGTGTAGCAAATCGGAGGTGGGGAGCGGGAGCGCCGGAGACAAAAAGCGGGCGAGAGAGGGAGCGGGCGAGCGCGCGGGGGGCCGCGGCGCGGCGTCTGGCGAATCACAGGGAAGGGCCAACATTTTAAAAGGTTGCAGGGCATGCAAAAGTGAAAGAGAAAGAGAGAGAGGGAGACAGAGGGAGAGTGCAGAGAGGGAGAATGTGTCTGCGTGCGTGTGTGAGAAAGAAAGTGTGGGCGAAGGAGAGGAGCCCGGAGTGGGAAGAGAGGAGGGAGGAAAAGGAGGGAGGGAGGAGGGGAGGGGGGAGGGGGAGCGGGAGGGGGCTGGGTCCGAGCGCGCGGAGGGGGAGGCCGCGCGGGCGGGGGAAGGGGAAGAGGGAGCGAGTGAGGACAATCGGACCTAAAAGGCTGGGGCAGACCTCGGGATACCGTGGGGGCCGCGAGCCACCGGCAGGAGCTACCGGGGACCGCGTCCGGGCGTTCATCCGGCTCTCGGCACCGGAGGTGCTTCCCTGCCCTCTCCGGCCACGAGCTCCTCCGCTCCGCAGCCGGGCCTGGGACTCGGGATTCGGCTGCCCGCCGCCTCGCTGCTCCTCCATCGTGCGGCGCCCCGCTCGGGACGGGCCCCTCTCTCGGCCGCCGCGCTAGCTTCCCTTGGACACCCGGGGCTGTGCGTTCGGCCGCAGCTGCTGCCCCACCCTCGGCTCTCCAAGGCTGGGGCTCGGGGAGGGGAGCCCGGACGCGGCCCCGGGAGCGCGGAGACTCGAGGCGGCCCAGCCCGGGCGCCGCTGGCAAGGACTCCGGGCTCAAACCCGTCCGACTGGCTGGGCCACTCCCGCCCACGCCCCCCCCCCCACGTTTGACAAGGCTCGTTCTCTCCCAGCTACCAAAGGCTGCCGCTGCCAGTCTGCCCGCCGGGTTGTCAGAACAAGCGGCACCTCGCCTCCTGCATGTCCCTGCAGAGCCCCGACATAATGAGACCGCACGAAGCCGGCTCGGAAACCCGAAATCCCTGCTCGGGCGCTCGCCCACCGCACTCAAAGTTGTTAAAACAACCCTCACTTTATTTTCTTCCCCGTCTTGTTTCTCATCTTTATTCTCTCTCTCTCTTTCTCCTTTTTGGCGTCATTCACACACACATTCACTCGCACCCTCACAGGGTCCCTCTTTGGGGGTGCAAGTTCACTGCTTCCCACCTACGTCTGGTAGCTCCTAGCGTAGCGCGGAGGTTGGGACTCCGCTGGCGGAGAGCTCAGTGCCCGCAGCTGGGTTCGTGCCTCCGCCAAAGTGAACGCCTGAGCCTGGGGCTTTCACTGTAGAAGACCTAGGGGCTGAGTTTCACTCCAACTAGCTCTCAAAAAGACACGCCGGTCCTGAAAACAAAGCAGCTGGGCTGACGTGGGGTGTCTGTGCCCGCACCGCGCACGACGTGAGCCCTTAGAGAAGCGCAGGTCCCCATGGGATGTCACCCTGCGCCTTGTGGGGGTGGGGAGAGCGAAAAGAGGGCCCGGGAAAGGAGTAAGATTTAAAATAATCTACACATAGTGGGGGGGTAGGGGGGGACGGGTGACACAACGTTCTCATAAATCCACGTTCCCATTTCAAGTGAAAACAAGACTTCTGCTGCTGTGCCCTCACAGACCTCCTTGCCTGCCGTTCCCAGCTCCAAAAGCCAAAAAAGAAAAGAAAAATGGCAAAAGCCGGACTGCCACCTATCCATTTAGGTAATCTCTGGCAGTGGCCTCCTCCCCCTTCCGTGACTCATCGACTCATTTCTGCAGGAGACGTAAGGGCGGTAGGAGCAGCTGCAGGCAGGCCGGGTCTCAGCGCCTCCCGCGGGCGAACCGGTGGAGCTGGGGCTTCCACGGCTGCCGCAAGAAACCGAACTCCCGGGACCCTAGGTTTTTTAATGGGCTCCAGTGCGGCGCGCTCTATCGGCACTGCTAGCTCCCCACACCGGAGGTCGAGTGCAGCCACACCAGGATTCCCACGGTCACGCAGCCGTGTGTCGGGCGGCTGCAGGGGCAGATGACTGGGACCCCGGAGCCAGCAAACTCCGTGCCTCACAGTCCCAAGGACGCGCTGGCCAAGTAGTTCACAGGGAATGAAGCGGCTTAGAACTTCTTGAATAACAGAGTGTACCTGGAGCGGGCCCCACAGCAGTCAGCGAGATGAGTGCACACACACTGAACCCTCTAAAAGAGAGACGCAACCCGGCTTACAGCGTAGTATAATGGGGCCCCTTTCCCAAATAGAAACGATCCATTTTTGAAAGGTCGAGCAAGGAATAAATAAGGAAACATTAAGGATCCTCGAGGTAGTTAAAGAAGAAAAAAAAAAAGGGTTTTTTCTCTGTCCTTTCTCTTCCTGGTGACTTTGTCCCCCAGAATCTCGCTGGAGAGACACGCGGAGTGCACAGGCGCGTGCCCAACTGGTTGCCAGCAATTGCTTCAAAAACCCATGCTCGTGTCTTGTGTCTACTGTTAGGCACAGACAATATTAGTCAGAAAAAGTGGGAAAGTGGGACACAGGCTTCGAAGGGGGAAACGAAAAGGGGAGCGTCCACAGCCTCCCTCTCCAGCTCTCCCCTGCGTTCTTTGGGCGAATCGGAGAGTCGGGCGCTGCGCGGGGGAAAGTTTGTCCCACCGGCATTTCTCAGCTGGCTGCCAGAAGAGGAGGTGCGGGAGGGTAGAGCTCGGAGCCTGAGGCCTCAAGGATAACTGAGCCAGCGCCGCGCTTACCTCGCAGTCCTCGTACTTGATATTATCCGTCAGTTTCCAGAGCATTTTCATGGATCGGCGTGAACGGATTTGCCCCCTCTCTGCCTCGGCACCCAAGTGCAGCCACTCTCTGGGTAAGTGAAAAGTGCCGGCTGCGACGGTGATCAGAGGAGGAGGAGGGAGAGGAGGAGGAGGGAGAGGAGGAGGAGGAGGAGGGCAGAAAGGAGGAGGAGGAGGGTGAGGAGGAGGAGGCGAGAAGGGAAAGAGCTCCCGTGTGCGCTCGGAGATCTCCCTCTAATGGTAGAAACTTTTCCCTTTTCCAGCTCTTTACCAACAGTCTAATCGCCTCATTAGCATATCAACAATAGTCCAATTGCTCGCCAGCACCGCAGTCTGCCGTCGGCCGCTCCGACTCAGGTATAAAGGCCTCTCGCAGCCACGAACTTGCTTCTAGAGCTCACGACTGCCTTCGAGCCAGGGAAAGCTCCCTTGAGCTCCTCCGCACGCCCGCCCCCCCCCCCCGCCATTCCTCTCCACTTCTCTTCCTCTCGCCGCCCCCCCCCCCCCGGGAGGTGTCAGGCGCTAAGTACGGCCCGTACCGCGCAGAAGCTGAGCGCCCGCGCCCTAGGCCAGGCCCTCAGCACCTTTCCCCATCCCTGCTGCCAAAAACGGCGCTGTCCTTTCGGGCTCCGACCAATTTTACTAGAAATTAGTATCCCTTTTGCAATTCAATATAACCACCAAACCAAGACTGGCGAAGTCACTCCAGGATTTTTGCCCAACAAGAGATCGCCTCCACTCTGGGCAGCCACCACCTCAGGCCTCAGCGCTTTGGGAGTTTTATTGGCTTTGCTCTTTACCCCCAGGTTGGAGATTTCGCTAAACGGCCCCAGTCGCTCGGCTGGGGGTTGCGATCCTTTAATTGCTGCGTGTAAAATAAAAATTGTACCCTGAAGAGGTTGCTTGACAGCTCGAGGAGTTAAATGATTTTCCTCTAGTTTGTATGAAGCTACAGACGAGTGATAACGTGGCGTTTGGGATAAGGGTTTCCTAGGTGCAGTGTGGACAAGGATAGAGAACTCCTGTAGCGACTCCACAGCCGCAACCGGAGTTGAGCCGAAACACTGACATGTGTGCACCCTGTCATGCATGCATCAAAATAAATCGCTGGGAACCAACTCTCCGCTGTGCTAATCTGCTCCAGTTTTCCCAAGATCCCCCTTTTTAATTAAAGCAGGGAGAGCTCCTTCCTGATTTGGTGATGTTACTAACGCGGGCGCACTAGCTTCGCAGTGCGGGCTGACGCGGAGCCCGGAGCAGGGCGGCTCTCTCCTCCTGCAGGTTTGCTGGTATAACATTTCCCACTCCCACGGGGGCCTGCTCGCTTTATATTTCTCCTTCTGTTTTAGAAAAAGTTTTAAGGAAGAAAGAGAAAACAAAGACGTAATATTCGAAATACAGAGTAGTTATTTCTCTGGCCGAGCTTCCGCATTTGTCCTCCACAAAAAAAGTTTCTCTCTCCCATTTGAATACCAAAAACTGCCCAACAACAGTAGGTGGTGCTTCACAGTCTCCACTAAAAGACTTCTGATTCCCTCTGGGCCTGTTTCTTGGAAATCTCCAAGCCTTCCAGTGTCCTTGGAGTGGGGCACAGGTTGTTGAAAATCGGATTGCTCCCTAACAGGTGGAAAGAAGGCAAGAGGAGAGAGGACTTCTCGGCGCAAGCCTGTAGTGGGGCAATTCTGTCTGCAGAGGACCGCAGCAAACTTCCCTAGCCAGGCAGAGTAGGCCAGGAGGCCCCACAAAAAGTGAGAAAGAAAACTAGAGTTAGAAGGAGGATTTAGAGCCGGAGGACTCCACTCCCCCACCACACACACACACACACACACACACACACGCGCGCGCGCGCGCGCGCGCCCTGGGCGCTCCTTTTCACTCCCCGCTCCCCCTTCGCAGAACACTACCGGGGTCCTTTGGCTGAACGCTGCTCCAGGTTCCGCGCCGCACTCCACCCAGGAAATGGGTCACTTCTAGTGTTAGCACTACTCACTGTGTGGGCTTCCCCGAGAGCCCACCGCCCAGCCCAGCTGCTTTAAGCAGGGAGATGGGCCGCTGGGGAGACTGACACCTTTCCAGAGACAGCTGCGGACGCAGAGCATGATCAGTAGGCCAAACCGCAGGCCTGGGAGCATGAATTTCCCACCCTCAAACTTCGCCACAACATACGTAAGGGAACTCTCTAAGTTTCGCTTTCCTTCTTTCAGTTTGCGGGCGGGGGTGGGCATTGGCTCTTCATCTTCTCCATTCCTCTTCCCCCTTGCTGCCCCGCACCCCGCAACCCCCAGCTCCGCACCCGCCACGGCTGCTAAACTGTTGTTGTATTCCTGCCGAGGGCGCCTTTGAGATGCAGATTGCGGCCTACGGACTCTGCGCCGCCGCCAGTGTTTTGGGCACAGGAAGAATGCCCAGGCAAACACCCGGGTCGACCCTGGAGCC